TGTTTAGCAAGACAGGTACTTGCAGGTCAAAAAATACATTGAGTTTTTCGTGGTTGTAGACAACGTAATGGTAAGTAACTGGATATAATTCGATTTTTTTCTGTGTTGATTTCTGCCTTTTTTTAAACAAAGTTAAAGAGACATTTGTAAATATACTCTAATCTGCACATTAGTTCTTCCTGGATTCCATCTAAATTTATTTTTATCCCACAATGGTTAAACAGTTCTATATGTTTCTTTGAAATATTCCTGCACTATTTTATTTTTTATTTATTTTGTCAAACGCTTTCAATACAATAGAAATAAGAATAAACATAAGTTTAAATATAAGAAATAGGAACTAATTAGGGATAATAGGACAGGGATGGTAGGCACGATGGCGCGCTTATGCATGCCCCTTACAGACCTCTTAGGAATGTGGGAGGTCAATACAGGTTAGTTAGAGGATAAAGGAGTGGGGGTTTGAGCATGTGACAACAGACTCAGGTAGTGAGTTCCAGACATTGACCACTCTGTTGCTGAAATCGTACTTCCTGCAATCAAGTTTGGAGTGGTTTACATTAAGTTTATATCTGTTGTGTGCTCTTCAGAGGTGGTATTCAGCAGGTTCTGACCAGTTCTGGAGAACCGGTAGCAGAAATTTTGAGTAGTTCAGAGAACCAGCAAATGCCACCTCTGACTGGAGATTTTACAATATCCTTCCCCTACCACACCCACCAAGCCATGCTCATAGAATCAGTAGTAAAAAAATTTGAATCCCACTACTGGTGCCTTTGTGTTGTTGTGGTTAAAGCTGAAATCTTCATTAACTGGTAAGATGTTATAATATTTGTTTATCCAAGTTGACAACACACGAAGAATAACATATCTAGTGGAGAATGCTTATCTTACACTTCTCTAAACATGGATATATGGCATCAATTAGGAAAGCACCTCAGTAGCCTGACCAAAATTTTCTCCAACCAGGAGGAGAGCCCTACTATGCTGCTGAAAAGTTAATAATCTGAATATATTAATGGCACAAACGCAGATTAAAAAACCAGCTCAAAAGAATTCTTTGGACTGCTTGGGAAAAAATATTATTTTTGTCTGAATCAGCAAATTCAATTATCCTTTATGTTCTGATATGATCCTGATATGTTCGTTGTCTCCCTCCTTCACTTCCTTCTTCCTATAATTATGATCTCATCTTAACTTTTTTGTCTTTCCTGTAGTACAGGAAATATACCAGCAATTTACGTGCTATAAAAAGAAGAGTATATGAAATGGTCAACACTTTAAATATGGTAAGAGGACATGGCAAAAATTATTTCACTTGTTAGATTTAAACTTCTCTTAGCCCCATCCCTGTGTTCACACAAGACACTTAACCAGGTAAAGAGAGCTAGGAGATGGACTTTTGTAAGAATGCTAACTTTTGTGGCTTCAGGGGAGGCAAAAGTGGGTCATTTGGTCAGCTGGTCATCCAGCATATAAGGTCATCCTTGAAAATGGGTTAATTCAGTAACTAGGTTAATAAGCCTCTTATGTGAATACAGCCACAGTATTGGGAGAATGCTAATCCAAAAATGTTTCAAGAATTCAATCAGAACTATATATGTAGCTGGATTCTTTGAGGGCTGTGGTTAATGGTTCTGAACTTGGACATTAGGAAGAGGTGGACAGAGTCAGTTGATTATTGAACTGATCCTGAGAAGAAACCTGGAGAGAGGAACTCAATTTGAGTTGGGTTGTGGTACCTATGGGGAGATATACTCCTATTGTAGTCTCCAATTAGCCTTGTTTAGAGACAACAGAAAGATTGATGAGTCAAATCTCCCTTTACTCCTCCTCTTCTGTTCCTGATTACAGAGAATAAAAACCTGCTTCTTGTTATCATTTTATTTCTCCTACTTAATACATCATCATTATCATTATTATTATCTCTTTTATTCATTAAACATGGAACTCAGTCAACTGAACATTTAAATGTATCACAAATATCATTGACTGGCTCTGTTGGTTGATACGTTTTGCTGCCAGCATCCTAGGTATCAACCAAGTGTTTTCTTAAGAAGTTTGATGATGATGATGATGATGATGATGATGATGATGATGATGATTGATTTAATCTTCGATTCAATTCACACTCTGGTAAAAACTTAACAATTCAAATCCTAACCAAGGACCTAAGAGCTGTTAAGGTAACGTCTCAGTATATATGCAGTTCTGAGTAAGATGCTTTTTTGCAAAGTCAGGATATCCAGGTCTGATAAGTTCAAAATTTCCTTGTATCTAAACAACACTTTGGATATTGCTCCAAGGGCTCCTATTTCTATTGGTACAACCACTGGTATTATTGATTTATTCCTCCACAATCACTCAACCTTAGTATTTTGTTATTTTTTTCTTGTTGTTTCTCTTCAATTCGTGCATCACCTGGTATTGCAATATCAATTAATCATATTATTACTGTTATTACTATCATCATCATCATTATCATTATGTTTCATTCATTAAACATGAAAGTCAGTCAACTGAACATTTAAAAATGTATCACAAATATTATTGACTGGATCTAATGGTTGATATG